GTAAGAGTTTAATATATGTTTTACTTATATCTGCTGTAGAAGAAGTTGGAAGTCATTCTTCTTTTGTATTTCTGTTTCTTTCTTTGTCTTTCTTTTTCTGCACTTTTTAATTTTCTCTTTATTCTTTCCTTTCTTGTATTCTCTTTCTTAATTATTAGCTCTTATTAGTTTTTATCTGTTTTTTAAAATTTAATAAAGTTATTAAAAGTACAAGAAAACTGTAAACCAGTGTTTCCCTAGCTGTCTGGGGAATTCTGGGAGTTGAAGTCCATACATCTTAAAGTTGCTGAGTTTGAGAAACACTGTTGCAAACTGTGAAAGTTTGGTTGCATCAGGACCAGGAGAAGCGCTTTCCACTCAGGAGATAATTCCTCCTCCTCCTCCATATCAGAAAGAGGCAAAGATATTAGAGCAACCTGATAAAAAACTGACTACAGGGTAGGACTACTGCAAAGGGTGAGGTTTTCTATATTTTTCTTTTTGAGCTGGCGAGCTGAAAGATATAACCTACCCCAGCAATATGGGTCACAGAAGGAGAAGATGTCATAACTAGCTACCACCAGAAGCTTCAAGGGCTCAACCATTAGAAAAAAGCTTTATTGCAAACTAGAAAAAGTCAGGCCTATGCAGAAGATCCACTGTGTGATTCAGGAATCCATGGGTATGTGTGGTGGGACCTTCAGGATTTAAATCCTAAGTCTCGGTCTCCTGCGCTTTCATGATATCAGATTTTTTGCTATTTTTCTCCCAGACAGGCCCATGCAGGGTCCTAGCACTGTGTTTACATAGCAGTCTAGTCTGGTCTGAAGCTGCTTGCTTCCCACCTTGCCAACTTCAGTTCTCATAGCAACAAGCTGCAGAGTCTTCACTTGCCTGATCTGTGAAAAGGCCTTTTCTGGCTGTAGCCACATGGGGGCACTTTGGTTAAAGTAGAAAATGGCAATTCCTGCTGTTCTTTGCTCTCCTAGTGGTGGCCATGAGACGGAAGATCTACGTTTGGTCCTCCTCAACATTATTCAAAGACCTGTATACCAGGACAAGGCTAGATGGGAACTCACTGGTAGGACTTCTCCTCCACTGGGAACATTTTTGAAGAGATTCCGCTTCCGCTAATAAAAGAGAGCTAGAAATTCCTATCTCAGATTCCACACTTTGTAAAAGTCCCTTACTTCTTGCATTAAAACTCCTGACTGAAATCTGTGTGATTCTTGCTTCCTTGAGCCTGCTCTGGTTGAGAGGACCTGACACTTCTCAGCCTGATAAAGGTTTAGGCAATGATTTAGTAAACAACCAGCTACAAATTCCAATGTTATATCTGCCACTTTGGTGGTTCACAGAAAGCAGGCAAGAAGATCAAAAAGGTTCCACTCCAATATACTTGGAGGTATACAGCATCTCAGATGAAAACAAATTCAGATGCAACTCCATCTCTTCCTTCTTAATAAATCTTGCTAAAGACTCTCTGTGAAAATTGGTCAGAAAAGGAATTACTTTTAGTTTCAAGCATATGCTCAAGATCCTGACCCAATCCATTATAGGTAAACCTTCTCTGTTGGGAAATGTTATACTGAGATGCCAACAGCATAGAAAACATCTGCATTCTCCGCACACCTGCCATGACTCACCGCATACACCAGATAATAACATGCCCTCCTACAGGGAATCCATACAAATATTTTTAGCAGCTTCTGATCATTCACAGTTATCAATATTTAAAAACAAAACAGAGAATTTCACTGCTTCAGGGTTACAGGCAGGATCCGTGTCCCTATTGCTAGGATTAAGGGCTTTGAATAAATTTTAATGAGCCAACTTCCCATTATGCTTTTATCACACTATCTGTTCAATTAATGGCTACTTTTCAAGCAAACCCCTCTCAAAGTGGAGGGTACTAGAACAGGGGTAAGCAATATGGTATTTGTACCTACTGATGTCTGTCTTGGGGCTCATCAAGCTTAGACAGACAGAACAACTTAGCAGTGTCATTGTCCAGGACTCAGACTCTGACTCTGAAGAAGCTGCTACAGCTGAACCAGTGGAATGTCAGCCTCAGGAGACACCAATCCAGGAATTCCCTGAGACTGATCATTCTACTGGTTCAGCTAAAGCAACTTCTTCAGAGTCAGAAGAAGTCTGAACTCTGGGCAGTGACACACACACACACACACACACACACACACACACACACACAAAGATGGAAACTGGTATGCTGAAAAGCAATGCTTCATCCTCTACTATTATATTTATTGCAGAGTGCCTGTGGGCCCCACAAAAATCCCATTGGGATGGTAGAGATACTTTTCAAGGTTACTTTACTTTCAGGAAAATGGAAGTGCTGTGACTGTTCATGCCCAGTGTAGCAGCCATTTTGTCAGTCAACAAAATCTCAAGGACAGCCATTTTGTTGAGTGTGCTAAGTTCATTCTCTTGGAATTCTAAAAGTGCTTCCCATTCTAAAAGCATGAGTCCAGCACCAGAGCAACAATAGATGAATTACCAAACATCAGTTAAGCTACAACTG